ATTATCAAAATCTTCTGTTCAGTTTTGATGATCTACTGTTTTTTCCCCACCCATCTACTGCTCCGACAAATTTTCATCCGGCAACACTGTGCGTGTTACGTGAAACGAAAACGTAAGGAAGATGGCGTCCGTCAGTTGACCACTGCCGAGTGCCGATTAAACTGTGATTCAGGTCCAAGGACATTCTGAACTTTTCGGGTTATTTGACTGTAAAAGCAGTGAATAAGTGAAATCTTTGCGGACATCATTTATCAACTGGTGAACTTCGATCTCGAGATCCATCGAGATGTTTATTTGTGCTAACAGCAGCATGAAGGCAAGTATGGCTATCGACGCTATCGTTTTATTTTCATTCGCTTGAAGATGCTTGAGTAAGAACATCAAATCTGGAGTTGAAAACATTAGATACCTTTCTAAATAATTTGATCTCATGCAAAGCTCTACCTAATCCTTTTCCATCTACAAAAGTTTATATTTTTGTATATAGTTAAACATAATATAATTCGTGCAAGGTTCATAGAGGTTATATAGGTAGGTACCTACCTAAGAATCAGTTTATGTTTGGAATAAGTTCTCAATGAAATAAAAATAATGAAGTATTCCGCTATACTATAACTACTACACGTTGAAAGTGGGTGTGTGTTTATGGTTTATGGTATTCACAGAAGATGTTATTGGATATTATTATTATTTACAGATTCAGTGAAGAAGACAACAGAAGGCTGCCAATCTGAAAAAGACATCATCGCGCCTGCGTACCTGGATGAATCACGCGACGTTTTTAGTGGTGCAGCTGCTTATATACGATATGGAAGAGTGAAATTGAAACTACTACCTAAATCTCTGTTCATATTATTGTTTGCGAATAAATGTTAACTAATATTCAAGTATTTCACTCTTCAGATGGGTCAGAAAATCAATAATCAATATTGTCTGAATGTCCTCAATACGTCCATTTTTCATACCAAAAAGGTCCTAGTCTGGACCTAAACTGGACGTCCCCAAAACATCCTGATTAGTAACAATGGACGTCCTCAAAACGTCCATAAGACGTCCGTCGTCCGGAAATGGACGTCCCCAAAACGTCCTGAATGTCCAGAGTGGACGTTTTTAAAACGTCCATAAGACGTACTTGTGCTGATTGGGTTAACACAGGATATTTTATGGATATCCATTTCAAGTCCTATTCAAGGCGGGATATCCGTGGACATAAAATGTACATCCATAAGATGTACTTGAGATATCCGAAACAAACGTCCTGAATACGTCCATAGGATATCCATAAGATACAGAGACAAAAGATCAATACCTAGAAATTTCAAATCAAGTATATACAATGAATGAAATGATAAATAAATAGAAGGAGATCCACAGAAGTAACACTTGTGCGTGGATCTTCCAAAAGATAGCACACATTGTAATGCTCTATCTGCTATTATAATTAATTCGGTTTTCAACGCGAACAGCGCTATTTATAGATCATCGATTCTACCAACCTTGGCGTAATCAAATGATGTCAATATGTTCTCATATTTGTAATTAATTTGAAGTGAATTCGGAAGTGATTCCTACGAATTCGTCCAAAATTGATGGTGCATAAGAACTGACAACTACATTATTCGAACGCAGTGAGACCTGAGTGCTTCCGAATTTTTGTGATTCTTTCTATATATAGGGTGAACTATCTCATTCATATCCATAGTTGATATCTTATGGATGTCCATAATGAATATCTTCAAGACATCAAAAAAGGTCACACTGTCACATCCTATGGACGTCCATAGGATATACCGAGCCTTTTTCGGATATCTTATGGACATCCACAATATCCCTGATGGATATCCATAGTATATCCATAAGATGTACTTGTGCTATCTGGGTATCTGGGTACTGTATGCGTATTTCCCAATGAATCACCCTCTAGAGGAAAGAATTGTTTAGGAACTCGTTATCTTATCGCTTGGGGTGCTATATCTAATCTCGACAGATCTCTCACATTTTTCTGTACCAGCGACGAATAATGAAACAAGTTTGAGATAGAACAAATCTAATGGTATGCATATCATTACACGATATAATAGAGGAACTAAATATCAACAGACCAACAAAAACCTCAACATGATAGCTATTCGCCAACGGTAGATATTAACTATCAAAGTTGGAAGAATGATAGATATGCTTTATACTTTATGCTATTACAACTTGAGAATGATGCGAAAACAATGGATCATATAATGCACGAAAAATGTCTAAATCACGATTGAAAAGTTTAAGTCACTTTCGATAGAGAAAATGAAAATGTTCAACGTAACACCGTACCTACTTACAGATATTTTCAACTTTTTATGAGATTATTTTTCCTAATCAAATCTATGTGGATGAATATGTGTCTACATACCACTGACATTTATGTGAACTTGAATTTGTTGAAAAGAACAGTATTTGACAGCATATTGTTGACAAAAATGAGCAGACATTAATACATTTAGAACAATTTTTGATCCTATGATTAAAATGACAGTTAGACGTATCAACCGTTCAACTCATTTATGTTCGAACTCAGGAACAGGAGATCGCAAAGAAAATACGTGAAATATGTACCTATATACCTATTTGAAACAGCCATTTTAATTTTCACATCACGTGACCTCTATATACAGGGTATGTCACGACAAGTTTACACTATCTCTATATCGAGAATCAGTATCGAAAGAAATCAATGAAAATAAGCATGCTCATATTTTAGATTTAGAATACGCTCTCTTCATTCAAAATATTTCCAGCGATGCAGTGCTGCCGCTTTAAAAAAAAACAAGCAACAACTTTGTTATTTCAAATAGAATACCCTGTATTTCATTGCATTTTTAGATTCATCCTGTACAGCTGATTTTATCGATACATCACACTTAGGGGCCCATCGAAAGAGATTACTGGGCTATATAGGGTGTTCAAAATCGAGATTTTTTAACTTCATGATTTGTTTGTCTCGAAACTATTCATTATCGGCCAATACGGCGTACATGCCCCTATCTCAACTTTCGATTTATTTAATCGGAACAGATACAGGGTGATCAGAATTCTGAATCTCGAACCACCCTGTATCTGTTCAGTAATTATAGTGAATCAGAAGTTGGGAGCCGTTTCAACCGATAATGAATAGTTTCGACACAAAAAAATCCTAAAGTTGAAAAATCTTGATTTTGAACACCCTATATCTCTGTAATCATTTTCGATAGACCCCGAGTATGATACATAGATGAAATCAGCTCTTCACGGAATTCAAAAATGCGATGGAATACAGGGTGTTCCATTTGAAATATCAATGTTGCTACTACTTTCTAGCAGAAGCGGCAACACTGCATTGTCGAAAATATTTTAAATGAAGAGAGCGTATTCTGAGATATAAGCATCCCAGGTAACAAGCTGACGTCATTTGTACGTCATTATCACGTCAGGCCTGACGTCAGGATGACTTCCAAAATGACGTCATAATGACGTTTATATGACCTTCTAAGTCAAAGACGAATGACGTCATTTTCATGTCGTCAAAATGACGTCATCCTAATGACGTCAAAATGACGACATCCCAATGGCGTCAAAATGACGTGATCTTTACGATTATTTATATCACTGAAATCTTCTGCATGTTTCAGTTTATTTTGTGCTATTTCGAAATTTTCTGTAGGTAAAAAAAACCCTATTGCATTAGGGTTGTATCAATATTATCAGAATAAATAATCAAAATAATATTATAGGTAGGTACTATAAATACCAGTTTCATAAAATGTTTTTTTTATTGGGAACTTATCCCAACTTATCCCATTCGGATGATGCACTCAAGAGATTTCTCAGAACCCTATGGTATTCCTTCAATGGCGTCCAATTCACATTCTGCTTTTTCGGCATACCTACACCACTTGTCTAAAATAATGGCCATGCTGCCATCCTCAAATTCTACTACTTGATATATGAATATGAATAAGTATGACCACCACACCACACCACATAGATAGCCGAATAACATGATAATGATGGCCTTCTATGTATTGTTATTTTGTTGTTACGGTCATCATGGCCGCAACGGCGAAGCGAAAGTGAACGGCTTGGTCACAGCACAGCCGTCTTCTGAATACGTGGGTTGGCGCTGGCGGTCGGCGTTCGCATGTTTGCGCAAGGTCCGTGCCGACCAATCAAATACAGTTCTCTACGCACTCTCCCGCTCTGATTTGAATTCGCATTCCGGAATAACAACGTTATAAGCTTTTTATGACGTGACATTCGGTCTTATATTTTTAATAGCTATAGGGAGAATACTTTGCACAGAAGGTATATAATTAACAATTATCTCAGAGACCATCGAAAACACACATCTCGCACAGATTAGAGGAAAAATTATTATGAAGCATAATATATGATGAGTGACATAATAATATATGTTATATAACATAACTACTAACGTTTTCATATAACAGAGATGGGAAACTTCTTGATTATGGATTTTCCTTGATGTAGATGACTCAATAATTGATGGTCATAATAAGTCATGAAAATGACCATCAGATGACGTCATAATGACGACATATCAAGGACGTCTATATAACGTCGTATTAAGTACGTCAAAATGACGTCATTTTGAGGTCATATGACGTCAATGACCATAAATGACCATATATTGACGTACAAATGACGTCAGCTTGTTACCTGGGATGCACATTTTCAAAGACTTCTCGCGATTGATTCTCGATATAAAGATAGTGTAAGCTCGTCGTGACATACCCTGCATATGGGCAATGCTTTTTTCAAATAGCAAAATCTTTAAGAATAATAAAGATGAAAACCTACTGAATTTTTTAATGTGGTTTCATCAACAAAAGATAGATTGGGAGCTTCAGAATGAACATGAAATAAATCTTATGTACCTACCTATATCTAATTGAACACCAACAAGAACATCAAGAATACAACTTTATTAATGAATCACTATCAGGATTACTTCAGTCTTAATGAGTCTTCTGTTTATGTACACATTCTTTCTCGTGTGGAGAAAGCAATTTCAGTTTTCCAGTGAACTTACAACCGTTTATGGAAAACACACAAGCTAGCACTACTTCATCAGCCAAACTCTCCAAAGGAAAACTTCTGGATTCTCCAAGACTTGCTCGACAAGAAGGACATTCAGTCAGTTGGAGTTTGCAGGTGTCGCACAATACATGCCCTTTTTCACAGTTATAAATTTTACCGATCATGTACTCCATGCATATGGGACACTGTAATTGCTTTTTAAGCTTTTCTAAAGATTCATCAACGATGTTCATATCATTCTTCGGAATGTCTACTACTGTTGCAGTATCGCTCGCTTTGTTGTTATCCTTATATTCATTCTTCGAGACTATTGTTATGCTGTATCTGATCTGGGTAGTATCACCAAAATGAGGTTTCAAACTAGCAAGATCAATAATTATTTTGAAATAACCAATGGAACTATTGTTGTTTCTCCATTTTGTGTGGAAATGGTCTGTCGAAAAACATGGACTCTGCACACAATACAATCAATGATCCATCTCACTGTATTTGTAGATTTTTTGATTTTCAAATGTCACAAAGAAGTCATTACACCCTGCACTGAACAATTTCATATTGTATGTAAAACATGTATTATTTTTTTCTAGAGATGCAACATATATCTTTAAAACATCTTTCTCATTTGAAATCATTGTGATGAAAAGGTGATTTTCATGTATTAAAAGCTGTGAAGATACACCAATTCTAGTTGATTCGTTATATGTTGAAAGATGAACATTCCTATTATGACTTTTCCAGTGCTCCTCCAATTTCCGTATCTCCACATTTTGCATACATCTTCGAGGATAATAGATTGGACATGGACATTTAATCGTCTTTTTATCACAAGCGTCTTCATGATTTTCCACCTCTTTCCACGGAATCATTTTGCTGCAATCCTTGTATATGCAAGGAAATGATGAGAACTTCGCTAGATTTTCGAAAGTATAATTTCGAGAAGTCGCTGGTCTATCCATGTTGTTCTTACATCTCCCGCACTTCGATTGTGTTCCATCTTGGGAAAGTATCATTATCGGAGGCACTGATAAAACATTATTGCACAAGCAACACTTCTTTGACAGGATCGCATTCATCGCATTTTGAAGTTCCTTGTTAATCTGTGGTTCCAATGATTCAGCCATAATTATTATCTAAAAAACAACATATACAGTAAGGTTATTCTTAGTCATGAATGATTAGCCATGCATAGATTGATGACAAGTAAAGGTAACCAGATAACATCCGATGGATATTCTCTACATGTCTAATTCTTGTCGGAATATCCCTGGATTTGAAATTGACATCTATGAGATATCCATTGAAGTATTTGAAATGGATTTCCTTCAGTAGATATCTTAAGGATGTCCATAAGATATCTACAGCAATTATGAATGTGTTCAATTTGCAAGATCGATTTTGATAGTGTCAATTTATGTGTTTCTCTTTGTCCGAACATAGATTGAAGCTTTTTGGGAATAGATCTAATATTTTGTTGTTCTACTGGATTTGAAATTGACATTCATGAGATACCCATCGCAGGACTCGACATGAAAATCTTTCAGTAGATATCTTAAGTATGTCCATAAGATATCTACAGCAATTATGAGTGTGTTCAATTTGCAAGATCGATTTTTATAGTGTCAATTTTATGTTTCTCTTTGTGTCCGAACATAGATTGAAGCTTTTTGGAAACAGATCTGATTCTTTGTTCTCCTATTGGATTCGAAACGGACATCCATGAGATGTCCATCGCAGGATTCGACATGGATATCCTTCAGTAGATATCTTAAGGATGTCCATAAGATATCTACAGCAATTATGAATGTGTTCAATTTGCGAGATAGATTTTGATATTGTCAATTTATGAGTTTCTCTTGTATCCGAACATAGATTGAAGCTTTTTGGAATTAGATCTGATTCTTTGTTCTCCTACTGGATTTGAAATGGACATCCATGAGCCACTATGCAATGTACTTTTCTCTATGTCACCCTGTATATTCTTCTTCAATATCGACTTTTTAAGTAATTTAAAATTTACGCATAGTTTTCCCTTTGGTTTTCCACCATTTCAAATATATTTTTCATGGAAAAAACAATACTTGAAATTTTTGGCAGATATATCGGTATCGGCCGATATCGGCCATGCCTATATCGGTATCGGCCGATATCGGTATCGGCCTCAAAAAATCATATCGGTCGATCCCTAATTTATACCACATGAGGCGTTCGAAGTCCGCGAAATGAAAACGTGAACGCCGAACACCACCTGGCAAGGAAAGAAACACTCCACTAGATTTCGGGAGGATGTAATCAAATGTTCTGCGTGGCATATTGCTAGGAAAGTAGTTGTTTTTCTCTCGTTATCTACAATTTTCGTTCATTTTATGAACTAGTGTGGGAATGACTTTGAGTTTCTCTCTCTTTGTGACCATTGCATTCCACTTTGAGTATTTGGCTTTTTCCTACCCCAATAAACTTAGCAAAACCACTTCAATATGTCGGATTTGCAATAGTACTATAATTTGTTACTAATTTAGTACTAATTTATTATCATATTCGCAAATTTATTACTCTTCATTACACAGAAAAAACCAACGGCTCTGCTAGCTTTATGTTAACCTAGCAGAACCATAGATGAAAATTTAATATTTCGAAAATTTTAAATATACCATAATTTATAACTATTTTATTACTGACTTATAACTATAATCACAATCAAACAATTTTTTACTCATCATTTCAAGGGAAAAAACGACGATTTGTCTATCTTGATCTCAACCTAGCAGAACCAAAACTCGAATCACATGTTTTTTGAAATTCTGTTGGATCATCGATAAATTACTAATTTATTACTAATTTATTACCACATTCGCAAATTTCTGACACTTCATTCAACAGGGAAAACCAACGGCTCTGCTAGCTTTCTGTCAACCTAGCAGAGCCATAGCTAAACAATTATTATTTTGAAAACTTCAAATATACCATAATTTATTACTATTTTATTACTAACTCATAACATGCGATTTGAGTTTCGGTTCTGCTAGGTTGAGATCGAGATAGATAAATCGGCGTTTTTTTCCATGAAATGATTGGTAAAAAATTCGTGATTAGTAATAAAATAGTAACTAATTATGGTATATTTGAAGTTTTCAGAATAATAACTGTTTAGCTATGACTCTGCTAGGTTGACAGCAAGCTAGCAGAGCCGTTGGTTTTCCCTGTTGAATGAAGTGTTAGAAATTTGCGAGTGTGGTAATTAATTTAGTAATAAATTAGTAACTTATCGATATGTGATTTGAGTATTGGTTTTGCTTTGCTAGGTTGAGTTCGAGATAGACAAATCGTCGTTTTTTCCTTTAAATGACGAGTAAACAATTCGTGATTAAGTTAGTAATAAAATAGTAACAAATTATGGTATATTTGAAGTTTTCAAAATAATAATTGTTTAGCTATGGCTCGGCTAGGTTGACAGAAAGCTAGCAGAGCCGTTGGTTTTCCTTGTTAAATGAAGTGTTAGAAATTTGCGAATGTGGTAATAAATCAGTAATAAATCAGTAACTTATCGATGATACAACAGAATTTCAAAAAACATGTGATTTGAGTTTTGGTTCTGCTAGTTTGAGATCGAGATAGTCAAATTGTCGTTTTTTTTTCCTTGAAATAATGAGTAAAAAATTCGTAAGTTCGAAATTATAGTTATAAGTTAGTAATAAAATAGTTATAAATTATGGTATATTTAAAATTTTCAACATATTAAATTTTCAGCTATGGTTCTGCTAGGTTGACATAAAGCTAGCAGAGCCGTTGGTTTTTTCTGTTTAATGAAGAGTAATAAATTTTCGAATGTGATAATAAATTAGTAATAAATTAGTACTAAATTAGTAACATATTATAGTACTATCCGAAATATTGAAGTGGTTCTGCTATTGGGGTCTTTTTCCTAGTTGAAAAAACTCCAGTTGGGCAACCAGCCACTCCCATTTCACCTGAAATGAGATCTTGTCTTGGAGTGTTTCTTTCCTTGCCAGGTGGCGTTCGGCGTTCGCGTTTTCATTTCGCGGACTTCGAACGCCACGTATGTAATAAATGCTGAGATGCGTTTACGTTGGGTCAGGTTCGCACCAGATAGCGGTCAAGAAGTTATCTGGGACAGCCCTCCCTGAACCACTTGAGCGCAGCTCAGCGTTCAGGAAGGAAACACTTGCGATTTTATTCGTCTATACGAACTATTGCATAGATTTCGGAAGGATGTAATCCAATGTTCTGCGTTGCATATAGCCAGGAAATTAGTTGTTTTTCTCTCGTTATCTACCATTTTCGTTCATTTTATGAACTAGTATGGTAATAACTTTGAGTTCCTCTCTTTCGGAGGAATTGTTGAAAAATCGGTCCCTACCGGTATTTGTGTACAGGGTGGGGTAACAATGCGTCAGAGTCCGTTTGCTCGGGTCCAATGATAGCTAGAAACATGACTCATAAACAAATGTGAACTAGACATCTGTGTCTATGATGATAAAATATTGCCACATATACAGGGCGCACCAAGAATCATTTAGAAAGGCATACAATGACCTCCTACTACCCCTCTTAATATTATTGACTATGTCTCAGTGACTTCAAATTGAATTTTTTCGTTTTTTTTTTCAAATCGGACACTCCATATACAGTGTGTCCATTTAGTGCGTAATTCCTAGATATCTCGAAAGTCATAATATACCGGGTGGCCCATTCAAGACACCCTGAATAACTCTTGAACACATGATAGAATGAAAAAATGCTCAGACACGTCAACTTTTATTTCTTGGGGGACATAATTTGAGATGGGTTTGTCATCTGTCATGACTTCCCCCTCCCCTAGAGAACCACCCTTCTAAGAATTTCAAATGGGAACATGGGTCGAGTGATACCTCATTCGAAAGGTATTTTCACCCAGATAATAACTGTGTTTTGTTTTTGAAAATTGATTGATTAGTATTTGAAATAATGGGTGTAGCCCATTCAAGACGATCCACCCTGAATAACTCTTGAACACATGATAGAATGAAAAAATGCTCAAACACGTCAACTTTTATTTCTTGGAGGACATAATTTGAGATGGGTTTGTCATCTGTCATGACTTCCCCCTCCCCTAGAGAACCACCCTTTTAAGAATTTCAAATGGGAACATGGGTCGAGTGATACCTCATTCGAAAGCTATTTTCACCCAGATAATAACTGTGTTTTGTTTTTGAAAATTGATAGATTAGTTTTTGAAATAATGGGTGTAGCCCATTCAAGACGATCCACCCTGAATAACTTTTGAACACATGATAGAATGAAAAAATGCTCAAACACGTCAACTTTTATTTCTTGGAGGACATAATTTGAGATGGGTTTGTCATCTGTCATGACTTCCCCCTCCCCTAGAGAACCACCCTTTTAAGAATTTCAAATGGGAACATGGGTCGAGTGATACCTCATTCGAAAGCTATTTTCACCCAGATAATAACTGTGTTTTGTTTTTGAAAATTGATAGATTAGTTTTTGAAATAATGGGTGTAGCCCATTCAAGACGATCCACCCTGAATAACTTTTGAACACATGATAGAATGAAAAAATGCTCAGACACGTCAACTTTTATTTCTTGGGGAACATAATTTGAGATGGGTTTGTCATCTGTCATGACTTCCCCCTCCCCTATAGAACCACCATTTCAAGAATTTCAAATGGGAATATGGGTCGAGTGATACCTCATTCGAAATGTATTTCCACCCAGATAATAACTGTGTTTTATTTTTGCACATTAGTTAATTCATTTTCGAGATATTGATAGTGAATATTCAAGAAATATTCCTATTCCTTCGATATCAATTAATATTAGGACTTTAAAGAATATAAATAGAATGAA